TCCTCCGCCTCCTCCTCCTCCTCCTCCTCCTCCTCCTCCTCCTCCTCCTCCTCCCTCCTCCTCCTCCTCCTCCTCCTCCATCCCTCAGCCTCTTTCCCTCCCGCAAGTGCTCGCCCAAGGGTGTCCACAACGCTTGGGGCGCAACACCTGCAACAACAGCAGCGCGGCCAGACGGTGGCCCAACCTGTCGCCACGTCGACGTGCCCAGTGAGGCGGGAGGGCGGCGGTGACTCGCCGCAGGCGCCTTCGATGCGTCTACCTTCGGGCTGCAGTGGGTATCCGACTCGGCGGCTGGAACATCCGCCGGGCGGGGATGCAGGAAGGGAGCAGGGGAGAGAACTCGGGAGGGACTGCAGGGCTGCCGAGGGGAGGGGGAGACGAAGGGGAGGGGAAGGGCAGGGGGCGGGGAAGGGAAGAAAAACGGTGGGGCGAAGGAAGGGAGGAGCACGGGAGGAAAGGCCATGGATGGCAGATTGGGCAAGGAAAAGGGTAGAGCGGAGGGAGGGAGAGAGAGAGAGAGAAGGGGGAGATCATAGAGAATAGAGAGAAGAGACAAGAGGGAGTATAGGATAGAAAACAGAAGTATGCGACCTGTGGAATACAAAATATCATGTATGATTGATATTCGAAAAGATCAGATAGCATAGTTCATGTAAATGTATCACATACTAACGGAAAAATAGGACATATACCTGATACGAGATACGATATAGTATAATCGACCATTAAATGCACATGCAAATATACATAGTTTACCGAGTCGGTTCAGCCACAATCGCGACGCAACAAGAGAACAGAAGATACGAAAGAGAGAGAAGTGGATTGAGAAGAAATCCGAAAGAACAGAGAAGAGAGCATATCTATTCGAGAAGAGAGCAGAGAAAAGCGAGAGAGAAGAGAGAGAGAGAGAGGGGGGAGCAGGAGGCGGATCCTTCAGGGCTTGCATAGAGAGAAACGCTGCGATCATCGCTGTACTTTCGTGGCGTACTCTACCCTGGAAGAGCGCGTGGCTCCGTAGCGAACTCCGTCCAGCGATCACTGAATACATGGCGCACGCGATAATGCTTAAGCATTGCAGTCTCGAGCCAGCACTCGGTGGGCTCCGCGGCGGCATAGGGTCCCCAAATCAGAGTTGGTTGTGAGTCAGAACAGGCAGAATGCTGTCCCACTTCGTGCACGAAGCTATGCTTAATGTGTGTTCGGCCGTGGGCATCCGAAAGGTGTCCTACCCTTGCTAGGTGTTCGTGCCCATGTTCGAGCTGCCATACTCCATATTCGGTCTGCGGGTGTCCACTATATGTAGATCCGGGGCGTGCTCTGTCAGCGCATTGTCATGTTCATCTGGCTCTTTGTACACCATAGCCCGCTGAGCCGAGAGCACGCCCTGGAAAGCGCCACTGGCCGCGGCAAACATCTGGCAGGCCACCGCCTGGAAGGTGGCCGCCGCCCTGTGGAACGGACTGCTGCGGGGGAAACCAAGAAGGTACCTATACAGCTGCTCCCTGGACCTCTCCCAGGGTGCGTTCTGGCCAAAATTTCAAAGCGAATCCAGCCGTGGCGACGAGGGCCTCCCGGGAGGCCCAAGAAGGGGAAAACGAGGGAAGGGTAGCGGTAAAGGTACCTTTTGCTCCCCTGAGCTGCTGGAAGTACGGCGGGGGCATTTGTTGTTTTAAACATTTCGCGGCCGAGGCCTTGCATGCATAATTCTTCCACCACTACACACGGGGAGGCCACCGCGGCCAGGGGGCGGCGGAGGCGGGCCAGCCGATCGCGCGACTTGGGCCCCGCACACTCCTCGCCGAGCCCCCCCCCTACCGAAGAGCTCCTCGAGGCCCCTCGGACCCGAGTTGAACTCAACGGGGAATCAAAAGTTCAGGCGAGCCGCAAACGTGCACACTGACAGAGACAGGAGGCCTGGCTGAAGCATACACGAGAGGACAAGCAACGCGCTTCAACGGCCTCAAAGCAACCCCATGGAAGTGGCGACACTCTTTATCCAAAGGTCTGCGGCCGAGCCCTGCTGATGGAACACGAACAGCTGCGTGACCCCGACGACGGCCTCGACATGGCCCGCCGCAGCCCGAATGAGGCGTCGCTGAGGCGCAAGGGCGCGCTGGCCTGCCGCTGGAGCCCCTGCACGAGGTCGAAGAAAGCATGCCGCGTGCGAACAGCTCCTTCGGCTGGTCTCGACAACGAAGCGGCGGGAACCTGCTCACCGCCTCTGACAGAGCCCGCGGCCCGCTCCACTCCCGCGCCGCGGGGAGTGAAGACTCTCGAGGGCACGGGGGCCGGAGACCGTGCCACGCCGCGCTCGCGGGCGCTCGCGTCCCCCTCGAAGACGCTGGAGAAGCCGAGACGCGCGGCGGCGCCGGATCCTCCTCCATGGGCGTCGAGTGCTGGACCTCCGCCGAGCCGCCCGCGGACGCGCCACCAGCCGCCGCAGCGGCCCTCACGCCAGGGCAGCCAGCGCCAGCCGCATCGACTCGAGGATCCCCTTGGTCTGCACCCGGCGGCGGGGCAGCGGCCGCTCGAGGAGCCCGAGCCACCGCCTCGCCGAGCGCCTCCGCCAGCGCCGCACCTACAAGCGCAGGCCGGCACCCCCGGTGCTGCAAGGCGCCGAAGGCGCGGAGCAGCGACTGGGCTGCTCGCGCCTGCGCCCTCATGGCCTGAGCCCGGCGCTCGGCCGCCGAGCGCCGAGGGCGCGCTGGCACGCCGGCGGCGAGCCAGGGCGGGGCCGCCATCCCGCGCCGCGGAGGGGGAAAGCCGCGGAGGAAGGGAGGAGGCCCGCGGGGGGGCGGCAGCCGCGGGCCGCCTAGCGCGGACTCGCAAGCCTCCGCGCCAGGCGGCGGCCAGAGCCGAGTTGGCGCTACGGCGGGGGCACTGGATAAGAAACCTCGGATAAGGAATCCAGGGTCTGGAAGCCAATGGAACTCCAATCGTGGACTGGCCATGGATATCACCACCGCCCTCATTGGGTAAGGAATCCTCCAGGGTCTGGCGCCTCCTGAGACTATTCCTTAACAAACGCCTCCACCGTAAGCCTCTCGCGACTCCTCCACATGGGCGGAGCTGGCGTCAGCGCCCAAGGCGTCCGACGCACGCTGCCAGGCCCCCCCGCACGGCGAACATGCCCCCCACCTTGCCCTGCTCCATTCCGACGACGTCCAAGCCTGGCGTTGGACCTCTCGCCGTGCTCCTTCGATCCTCCACGAGACCGGCTGCCTCTCGAGCGCCAAGCCTGGCTTCCGTGAGTCATGTCGTCCGCCGGTCGCATGGGAGCACGCACGGCCGACTCAGTTGCACCAGCGACGGCCTTCAAGAGGCACGCATCGTAGCGGTGCCAGGAAAAAACAAGGCTGGCGGAACCAGACAGGTTACGTCCTCGTCCTTAGAGGGGTGGAGACCGAACAACAAAACGCGGGACCACCCTGTTCCCTTGCCCAACCTTACTTGAGCCCAAATTACAAAGGCGAACATTAGGGGAGAGAAGGGGGATGAGGAAGAGACCAACGAGGACCAGGAGGAGCAACAGGAGAAATGATGAAGGGGTCGATGGGGACAAGGAGGATGACGGGGACAACGATGGCAATGGTGACGGCGATCCAAAGGTCCCTGCCTCTGCCGCACCCCAACCCCAACCACCCCACACGTCCTGGTCCAAAAGCTGGGCCGCGTGCACCCTGTCTGGCACCTGCGATGGCGGCCTGTCTGGCACTGTCATCATCCCTCATATCCTCCTCCTCCTCCTCCTCCTCCTCCTCCTCCTCCTCCTCTTCCTCCTCCTCCTCCTTCTCCTCCTCCTGCTCCTCCTCTCCCTTCTTCTCCCTCTCATTCCTCCTCCCTCCTCCTCCTTCTCGCCTCTCCTCATACCCCTCCTCCTCTCACTCCTTCTCCATCCCCTCCCTCCTCCCCCTCCCCCACCAGCCCGAGCACCTCCTCATAATCATTGTCAGACACATGTTGACCACCACCACCTCATCATCATCATCATCATCATCATCATCATCATCATCATCATCATCATCATCATCATCATGATCATCATCATCAGCATCATCATCATCATCATCATCATCATCATCATCATCATCATCATCATCATAATCAGCATCATCATCATCGTCGTCGACATCGTCGTCATCATCAGCAGCAGCATCATCGTCATCATCGTAAGCATCGTCAACATCATCAGCATCATCATCGTCGTGGTCGTCGTCGTCATCATGGTCATCAGCATCAGCAGCAGCAGCATCAGCATTAGCATCATCATCATCGTCTTTAGCATCATCAGCAGCATCATCAGCATTATCAGCATCATCATCAGCATCAATCATGAGCATCATCAGCATCATCAGCATTATCATCAGCAGCATCATCATCGTACTCCTCATCTTCCTCATACTCCTCATACTCCTTCTCCTCCTCCTGCTTCTCCTCCTCCTCCTCCTCCCCCTCCCCATCCCCCTTCTTCTACCTTTCCCTCCTCCTCCTCCCTCCCCCGTCTTCGCCTCTTCCTCATACCCCTCCTCCTCTCACTCCTTCTCCATCTCCTCCCTCCTCCCCCTCCCCCACCACCCCGAGCACCTCATCAGAATCATTATCAGATACATGTCGACCACCACCATCATCACCATCATCAGCAGCAGCATCATCATCAGCAGCATCATCAGCATCATCATCATCAGCATCATCATCATCATCATCGTCATCGTCGTCACCATCAGCAGCATCATCATCAGCATCATCAGCTGCAGCACCAGCATCAGCATCATTATCATAATCTTCGTCGTCCTCCTCGTCGTCCTCGTCGTCTTGTCGTCATCATGATCATCATCACCATCACCATACCCATCACCATCACCATCACAGACAGCATCATTATAATGTGGATTACATCATGATCATGTGGATTATCGCCACCGCCATCATCAGCAGCAACTGCGTCATCACCATCAACATCAGCACCGCCACAACCACTGACATCGTTGTCAGCAGCGACATCATCACCGTCATCTTCATCATCGTCAACATCGCAATCGTAATCATTCCCATCTCAACAATCAGCATCATCATCTTAATCATCCTCGTCCTCATCATCACCATCGCCATCATCGCCATCACCAACGCCATCATCTCGTCGTCATCATCACCGTCACCATCACCATCAACCATGACATTCACCACCACCATCACCATGATCATACCCCCTCCGAAATGAGCCACGCGAAGCTTGCGGGAGGAGGCGGGGTCACCTGCCCTTTCCCGCTTATCCCTCCCCCAAGGCAGGTCCGCTCAAACCCAGTCCCTGGACATCTTCCCGCAACCATCTTGGCCCGCTTCCCAGCACACGCTTGGCCGTGGCGACGATGGGAGTCCCTGAAGGCCCGGAAACAAAGGAAGAGTTCAGGACAGTTCTCCAGCCCCTCAGTAGCTGTCTGGGGGAATACTAGGGAAGGCGCGTGGTTCGGGCCAGGAACTTCAAGCCACTGTGAAACTTCGTGTTGCCACTCCGCCTTGAGCAACCATGCTGCTGCGAAGAACCCCTGGGTGCGGGAATTCTGATGATCGTCCTCTCCCTCAACCTCTTCCCCCCTGTCACTCCTCCCTGCTCCCTCCCCCCTCCTCCCTCACCTGGCTTCTACGCCACCCTGGCACACGCCTCACTTCAAGACGCGTGACCAAAGGGCTGGGCGTGTGGGAGAGGGGGTGGGCAAGGAAGACGACGAGGACGGCGACGAAGACGACGGCGAGGACGAGCAAAACGACGAGGACAACGGTGAGGAAGAGGGCGAGGACGAAGACGGGGGCAAGCACGAGGACGAGGACAAGAACAACGACGACGACGACGACGACGACGACGACGACGACAACGACGACGACGACGACGACGACGACGACGACGACGACGACGGCGGCGACGACGACGATGACGACGACGACGACGACGACGACGATGACGCCGAGGGCGGCGACGAAGACGAGGGCGACGACGACGAGGACGACAACGACGACGACGACGACGACGACGACGACGACGACGACGACGACGACGACGACGACGACGACGACCTGACGACGACGACGGCGGCGGCTGGCGGCGGCTGGCGGCGGGGGCGGCGGCGGCTGGTGCACCTCGCAGCTGCTGCCCTCGGGGGGCGGGCGCCGCGGAAGCGCCGGCGCCTCGGCGCTGGGGGACGAGGGCGTGGCCGCATGGGCCTGGGGGGCGCCCCGACGGGCTTGGCGGCGCGGCGCCGGACGGCGGCGGCGGCGACGGCGGCGGAAGCGGCGGCGTCGGCGGCTTCAGCGGCGGAGGTGGCGGCGACGGCGGCGGCGGCGCTCGTGGGGTGGGGGGAGAGGGAAGCTGGGACCGGGGCGCGCCTGCGCCTGCGCCGCCTGCGGCGGCGGGCCGCCGCGGACCCCCGCACCGCCCCAGATGGACGCCTTCTGAGGTGACAAAAAGGCACCTCGTCGACGTCGTCGTCGTCGTCGTCGCCCTCGACGCCGTCGATGTCGATGTCGTCGTCGTCGTCGTCGTCGTCGTCGTCGTCGTCGTCGTCGTCGTCGTCGTCGTCGTCGTCGTCGTCGTCGTCGTCGTCGTCGTCGTCGTCGTCGTCGTCGTCGTCGTCGTCGTCGTCGTCGTCGTCGTCGTCGTCGTCGTCGTCCTCGTCGTCGTCGCCCTCGTCTTCGTCGCCGCCCTCGTCCTCGTCGTCGTCGTCGTCGTCCTCGTCGTCGTCGTCCTCGTCTTCGTCGCCGCCCTCGGCGTCATCGTCGTCGTCGTCGCCGTACCCAGAATGGGCTTTTGATCAACGACGGAGGCGCGGCAGCAGAGGGGCCCTGAAACGCGACCTGAGGGCAGGGCCCACCAATGGCGACAGCCGAGCACCTGTGCACCAGTCCTCCAGACAAGCGTTCCGTACTCCACACGGGCCTGGCCCGGACCACACCCTGCGGGGCTTCTCTCAGATCGGGCCGCCGCAAAGAAAAGCAAAGCGTGATGGCTGGTCAACGCTTTCGGCCTCTGGTAGCCGTTTCCTGGCCCCGGGGCCGCCCAGGTGAAGGGGTCGAGACTTCCGGGGGCACACATCACGACAAGAAAAATGCGGCGTCGGAGGAGAGGTTCCCAGGACATCTTCTGGGGCCCGTCCTGACCATGAGCCAGGGGCGGAATTTGCCGTGGCGACGAGGGTCCCCTGGGAGTCCCAAGAAAGGCGACAACTAGGGCCCAAGGAGGCGCATGGGGCCCAAGGAGGCGCATCGGTAGTTGTCGGTGAGTACGTGCTCTCCTCTGACGTCATGATTTGTTCCACGACGGTGGCCCCTGGACCTCTCCACGCCATCCCCAGGAAAATTTGTCCACCGAGGGCCCTTTTTGCTGGCAGTACGAGGCCCATCAAGATCCTGCAGATGCCAGGGAAAGGCAGAGAGAGAGAGAGAGAGGCAGGGAAGCACAAGTATGCGCAACACATACCATGATACCCCTGCGTGTGCGAGTAAATGGTCGTGACAACTAATGCTCACGCCGCCAAGCAGGGTGCTCGTCCCGACCGGGACCCCAAGGGTGGATCCAGCCGCGGCGAAACGAGGGACCCCCGAGGGGACCAGACGGGTCTCGGCCCATCCCCCTGGGACCAGCTTTTCGTCCTGAGACGTTTTCTAGACGGCCCAGGGGCCCAGCGAATGCCCAGAGGCCGAAAATTAGCAACAACCACGAATACACAAAACAAAACAACACAATCACCCCCCCACACACACACACACACACACACACACACACACACACACACACACACACACACACACACACACACACACACACACATACAAAACACACACACACACACACACACACACACACACACACACACACACAATGACGAAGAATCCAGCCCAGTGTAAACGCGAGGCGGATATTAGCAGGAACGATCAATGAACATGAACGTGCTGAGGGAGCTGCTGTGCCCCTGAATGCTTCACCTAGAAGTTCAAACTACATTCAAAGCCGACCCGTTCACGCACGCACTCTCACTTTTGAAAAAGTGCGATACAGCGCGCTTCACGGAAATGAGGCATGGAAAAATGTGCACGTCCGAAGGGCCGCTTACTCCTCCGCCTCCTCCGCCACTCCTCGCACAGGGCCGACCCCTGCCACTGGAGCCTGCGGTGGAGATCCAGATGGGGCCACGACAAGTCTGAGGGGCGCGCCGAAGTGGACCCGAGGCGGGATGCGAACCCTGCCACTGGAGCCTTCGGTGGAGGCCTATATGGGGCCACGACAAGTGTGAGGAGTAGGCCAAAATTGGCGGAGGAAGGCATGCGAACGCAGCCACAGGGGCCTTCGGTGGAGCTCTCCATGGGGCCACGGCAAGTGTGAGGGGTAGGCCAAACTTGGCGGAGGAAGGCATGCGAACGCAGCCACAGGGGCCTTCGGTGGAGCTCTCTATGGGGCCACGGCAAGTGTGAGGGGTAGGCCAACGTGGGCGGTGGAAGACGTGCAAACGCAGCCACTGGGGCGTCAGGTGGAGCTCTCTATAGGGCCACGGACCGCGCGATGGGTTTGCCAGAAGGTACCCGGGTCACCATGCGGGCGCAGCCACTGGGGCCTTCGGTGGAACTCCCTGGGGCCACGAAACGTGTGAGGGGTGTGCCAAAATGGACCCGAGTACGCATGCTGGCCCTGCCAGTGGGGCCTTCGGTGGAGCTCCCCATGGGGCCACCAAACATGTGAGGGGTGTGCTAAAAATGCACCCGAGTACACATGCGGCGAGCCCTGCCACTGGGGCCTTCTGGTGGAGCTCCCTATGGTGTCACGAAACGTGTGAGGGGTGCGCGGACATGATGACGATGGTAATAATGGTGGTGGTGGTGGCGATGGGAAGTGAGAAGGGAAGGATGAGGAGGAAGTGGAGGGATGAGCGAGGAGGAAGAGGAGAGGAGGCAGGAGGGGGAGGAGGAGAGCAGCAACACACAGGAGTGGTGGGAGCATGTGGAGAAGTGCCGAGATGTTCCCACGACGCGAAAGGCCCTGGTCCTGGGGCCCGAAGTCGACCCCAAAAACCTCTGCTGGAGTTCGTCGAGGAGGAGGAGGAGGAGGAGGAGGAGGAGGAGGAGGAGGAGGAGGGAGTGGAGGATCGAGCGGGGGGCGGCCGCGAGGCCCACAGGGCCTCGATACTCGACGGCCGGAAGTCGGGAACATTTGCTCAGCGCGTCGCGCAGGCGGCCCTGGCGACACGCACTTCCCTGCAAGCGGACAGCGCGTCGCTCCGCCTCGCGGGGAGGGAGGGGCCCGCAAATGGCTTGGAACGATGACGCTCGGGGACCGAAGCGTGGACAGCGTGCCGCGCCCGGGCGTGGTGGGCCAGAGCCGGCGGCGCGACACGCTATCCAGGAGCTCCCGAACGCAAGGTCACAGTTCGGGGGGGTCTGGGTCGGCATTTGTCTGTTTTGGGGGGGCCTGCTCTCTGGGACACACAGAGACGTACTAATACTAGATGTCCTCCTTGGAGGCGCGCGTCCGACCCGAACATCTAGTATACCCATCTTGTAGTATATCGTTTTCCGAGCGGTGTGGCCAGAATGCGCCCGCCAAAACGCATATACTATAAGATTCCTCGGTGCGCGCGTCGCCCCTGGGAGGGCGACGCACATATAGTATAAGTATGTTGGGGTGTTGCCGATGCTCTCTGGGGGCCGCCCCTTTAGGCCTGACACCTTCTCGGCGGACCTCCGCGTGACGAGCAGGTGCTGGGCGAGCTGGGCTCCAATCTGGCTCGGGAAGAGGCGGCCCCACATGGGATCCTGGATGCCTCTCCCCCGACGGAAGGCGAGGCTGCAGAGACGGAGCCTCACGCAGGCCCCAGAAAACTTACAGGGCCCGACTCGGCATGTGAGGGGGAACGATAGGGGGGGGACTGGCATTGGGGGGGAAATCGACCTGGAATCGGCGATGCATTGCCGATAGATCGGCGATAGGCCCCATATAGCGCATCCCCACGTTCTTGGACTGGCTGGGACTATCGGGCCCCTATCGGCGATGAACGGACGATTGAGGGTCGATGCATTCCCCCGACATGGTAGCCTGCAGGCCACTACACCCGACAGAAGTTAGCAGCGCGCAGAAGGAGGGTAGGCGGAGGGGGGAAGGCTTCTTAGAAGGAGGTTGTTTCTTAGAAGGCGCGGGCCTTACGTCTACAGACCAGGCCCGCGCTTTCTGAGAAGCAGGGATGCTTCTACGAAGCCTTCCCCCCTCCCCCTACTCCCCTCTGCGCGTGGCCGAATATCACAGACACGCGACGTCCTGATTTTTTCAATACGCGGTCCCCCGAAGTCTCGAACCTTTTCCCAGGACCAGTTTTTCACTCTGAATCCTTTCTTGACGCTCCCGGGGCCCGGCGAGGGCCCCCAGAGCCCGAAAACGGCGAGAAATCTCCTCTGCGCGTGGCCGAGGAAGGGGAGGCTGCAGAGACGGAGCCTCACGCAGGCCCCAGAAAACTTACAAGGCCTGGGTCGGCATGCCTCCGGGACGCCGCAATCCCGGCGGAGCGCCTGCGCGCCCGCGCCGCCACGCGCGCCCCAGGCGGGAGCCGGCGGCGGCGGTTCGCTGTGCCGCGGCGGCGGGGGGGCGGCTCTCGAAGCGCCGGCGCCCTCGAAGCGCCTCGGCGTCGAGGCGCACGTCGGCGAGCCATCGTCCTGATTCTCCTCGTCTTCCTCGTCTTCCTCGTCGTCCTCATCGCCGGCGTCGTCGTCGTCCTCCTCCTCATCCTCCTCCTGCTGCTGCTCCTCCTCATTATCCTCCTCCTCCTCCTCCTAATCCTCCTCCTCCTCCTCCTCCTCCTCCTCCTCCTCCTCCTCCTCCTCCCTCCTCCTCCTCCCTCCTCCTCCTCCTCCTCCTCCTCCTCCTCCTCCTCCTCCTCCTCCTCCTCCTCCTCCTCCTCCTCCTCCTCCTTCTTTCGTCCCCTGACAGCTTGTCTGTAAGGGTTCTGTGTATATTATACAAGGGAGTGGCACGAGAGGGTTCCCAGAATGCCTGAAGACGAATGCGCTATTTGAACACTCTATGCGTCATTGAATCGGCGGCGACGCCTCCACTGGCCTGACGCCCGGTGAAGCTCGTGACGCCTCCATTCGGCCTGCAGCCTCTCCCGCGCTGACGCGACGCCCGGTGAAACTCGAGACGCCTCTACTCGACCTGAAGTCTCGATTGGCGTGACGCCTCTATCGGCCTGACGGCTGGTGAAGCTCGTGACGCCTCTATTGGGCCTGAGAACTCTCTTGCCCTGTCACCCAGTGAAGAAAGCTCGTGACGACTCTGGTCGATCTAGAGCCTCTATTGCCATGACGCCTGGTGAAATTCGTGACGCCTCTATTCGGCCTCACGACTCAATGGCCCTGACGCCCGG